TTAAATTATAAAATGAAAAAAAAAAAACATCAAAGCAGCTGACATAAGCGGGCGGAAAAAAGTGCTGATGTTGGCAGAAAAGAATAACTGATTTCAACGTTGTGAGAAGGAAGGGATTCGGAGACGCTTCAAACCTGGAATCGTATCATATCCCAATTATTTAAAAAACGCTCCCAGTATGAGCCAATTGATACACAACTGTCGCAAAAATCACGCGATTCTTCGCGACATTTCCTTCGGCACTACTTGTAAAAAGTTGCACTTTACTTACCTTTTCTTCTATCAAACAACGCCAATTTTCGCGGTGGTTACCATAAGCTGAAATTTCTTTAGTATACTCAATGAACAAGCATCAAAGACGTTGACTAGTTTTGTTACAGCAAACTCAGCAACTACATACTAAGCTGAGCTTTGTGAAATGCCGCCCGCTGTGCAACCATCCATCCTCTGGTTGGTACGCACGACTGCCTAGTTATTTAGGCGGAATTATCACGAGAAAAAAAAGCCCCGAATATTAAAGCGAACACCTTCAGGCTCTTTTTTTCAAAAGGCTAACGTGTAGCTCACGTGATATGCGTAACTGCCCAAGGTCGGTGCGTAGTTTCAGTTTCACCATGAAAGCGGTGGCACAAACCCGGTAGATCAAACCCAGGGAGGGGTGGGCACTTCCTTATTTGGCCTGTTATACCCAGCCAGAGGAGCACCACATAGAGCGATTCCTTTCTTCGACGATCGACAGATAGTGAAATAATTCCACGTCTTGTTGCAGCCTCTCCAAGCTGTTTGATGTCCTCTTGAAGCCGCCGTTCTTCGATTATCGCTTTAAGTTTCTGGAGTTCCCTATTTACGGCTAAAATTTAATTTCTTTCTTTAGTTTTAAGTTTTCTTTGTACTTATTGTACGACATAAAGCAACTGACTTAAATTAAACTTAACTAGATTCTAAGTCAGCATCATATACGGAGCGCTCATTAAAAACATGTCCGACTTCATACCTCGCCTCGACAGGAGCAGTATTCTATACAAGGATGGTTCATTCAGTGGACACTATCAAGACGGAAATACACTCGTGGTGACATAACAGGCATTTGATTTTGAAAAGCTGAAGAAGCTTTGAATTATAAAATGAAAAAAAAAAACATCAAAGCAGCTGACATAAGCAGGCGGAAAAAAGTGCTGATGTTGGCAGAAAAGAATAACTGATTTCAACGTTGTGAGAAGGAAGGGATTCGGAGACGCTTCAAACCTGGAATCGTATCATATCCCAATTATTTAAAAAACGCTCCCAGTATGAGCCAATTGATACACAACTGTCGCAAAAATCACGCGATTCTTCGCGACATTTCCTTCGGCACTACTTGTAAAAAGTTGCACTTTACTTACCTCTTCTTCTATCAAACAACGCCAATTTTCGCGGTGGTTACCATAAGCTGAAATTTCTTTAGTATACTCAATGAACAAGCATCAAAGACGTTGACTAGTTTTGTTACAGCAAACTCAGCAACTACATACTAAGCTGAGCTTTGTGAAATGCCGCCCGCTGTGCAACCATCCATCCTCTGGTTGGTACGCACGACTGCCTAGTTATTTAGGCGGAATTATCACGAGAAAAAAAAGCCCCGAATATTAAAGCGAACACCTTCAGGCTCTTTTTTTCAAAAGGCTAACGTGTAGCTCACGTGATATGCGTAACTGCCCAAGGTCGGTGCGTAGTTTCAGTTTCACCATGAAAGCGGTGGCACAAACCCGGTAGATCAAACCCAGGGAGGGGTGGGCACTTCCTTATTTGGCCTGTTATACCCAGCCAGAGGAGCACCACATAGAGCGATTCCTTTCTTCGACGATCGACAGATAGTGAAATAATTCCACGTCTTGTTGCAGCCTCTCCAAGCTGTTTGATGTCCTCTTGAAGCCGCCGTTCTTCGATTATCGCTTTAAGTTTCTGGAGTTCCCTATTTACGGCTAAAATTTAATTTCTTCCTTTAGTTTTAAGTTTTCTTTGTACTTATTGTACGACATAGAGCAACTGACTTAAATTAAACTGAACTAGATTCTAAGTCAGCATCATATACGGAGCGCTCATAAATAACATGTCCGACTTCATACCTCGCCTCGACAGGAACAGTATTCTATGCAAGGATGGTTCATCAAGACGGAAATACATTCGTGATGACATAACAGGCATTTGACTTTGAAAAGCTGAAGAATCTTTGAATTATAAAAAGAAAAAAAAATCAAAGCAGCTGACATAACCGGGCGGGAAAGCAGACGAGTGCTGATGTTGGCAGCAAAGAATAACTGATTTCAACGTTGTGAGAAGGAAGGGATTTGGAGACGAGTGCCATTTCCCTGTTGACCTAAAGCTGCTGCTGCGGAAGTAATAAGTGCTGGGCTTCCTTGTATCACTCCATTCAAAAAATGGCTCTCTTCTTTTCTCTCCCTCGCCACGTTCACTACAGTTGAGGGCAGTGTTTGCCTTGTGATAGCCGGAACAAAGTTTGGTTTATTACAGGAGATGGGTGGGCAGTCTTTCATTATTTGGCCTAGGCGTGGTATTTTGTGCATGCAGGTTTTCAGTGTCTCGAGTCATATATCCTATACAATTGAACAGGATCAAGTGGAACCCACAATGTTTGTTTGTTTGTTTTTTTTTATTTTTAATTTAATGCCATGATGTTGGTTGCGTTGTGTGCGAAACGAAATGAATCAGGCTCACAAAATTAGATCTTATCTTTTGGGATCAACGATTTTTGTTTTTAAACAAGGTCAAGGTCTGAATTGCTAGACGGCACACATCTACCCCACATTCCCTCTAAATGCTCCCCAAGGGTGATCAAAGTCTAAATATGTCAGCAATCAAGTCTAAATAATCGATTGTCAATAACTAGATAGACGTAACGTATTTATGAAGGGACAGGCCCGAAACATTATTTACTTGGCTTACTTGCTTTCTAAAGTGCCAAGCAGCTTACGGAATTTTTCCGTAATTTGTTAGACGATTCATATCTTAACAGAAAATCGAGATCTCCTCCGTACCTGTAGTTCCGTAATATAAAAAATTTCTTGTGAATACCCATTACCGAGAGGAGACAGAGAGCGATTTCTTTCCTAGACATCATGGCTAGCGTAACACTCAGTAGCCACAGGCTCCTGCCCTGCGCCAAAGTTTGATATCAAAAATTTATTACCGTGCATGTGATGTAACACATTCAAGCTCTTTCTCGATAACGTGATGGAAAATTTCGTACCTTCATTAGGCTTTTGTACATTATGCTCGTATTTTTTCGAGCATGTTATTTAGGCAACACTATTTATAGAAGCATTATGCGAACATTGTAGTGGCATTTTCTGGGACGTAAACTTAACCTTGAAATTCAAAAAACCTTGTTTGCTGTGTTTAAACTATTCATTCGTATACATCGTTGTCATTTTGATAGCCCAAACCCTCTAAAAACGTTCAGAAAAAAATTGACAAAAGTCTTGCTATGTTAAGCATTACTGCCAAGAATTTTAATGACTTTTTGAGGGGCGACCGAGCATTTGGAAGAAGCGGAGCATTGCTTGATTAACAAGGGAATACAAATTGAATCTTGTTTAAAGATGTCGGCTTAAAGAAAGGATAGCTTTATGAGGACAACACAATGCCCCCGAACGAGGATTCTGAATTCGGGGTTTGAGATTTGCATGATGAGACTCAGAGGACGGTGGCGGCAGGGAAAACGTCTCGTAAAAAAGTGAATTAACGTTTTTAACACCTTCATCACGATAATTCCAACTCACCGACTCTGTCAGATGTATGCGCACTCTTTTGAATTGAGTTCCTAAGAGCCTTATTCAAGTTTAGAAAAGTGTGATGCAGTGCAAAGTTGTTCTTTTGCTCTAAATTTAAACCTGTTGCTTTTTTGACTTGCTCGTTGACGCATCGCCTTCCTCCCAATTGTCCACCCAAGCAAGGAGCCTACATGTATAAAATCGGCGGATATCCGACCGAAAACTTTTTCGGAAAATTGTCAACCCTAGAGAACATAGTACCGTGGGAAGAGGGTCAAAAGTCATCTGACAAAAAAAAATCATACAACAGAAAACTCACAAAAAATCTAAATTCAGATATAGAAAACGAAGAAATTCAAACATTTAAATACAGAAATATATGGCCTGGAAAATCCAGTAAAATCTATTCTCTTCTCGCTCCTGTGATCAAGTTTTCTGATGATATGATCTTATTTTTATTTGAGGGAAAAACACAAGAATTTAATGTTGATACAACCCTGAATTGGGCGTCTCCCAAGCCAAGCTCAGAATCCCACTAAAAAATTTTTCATATTTTTTTCGGCAACATTCTATTCAGCAAATCGAAGTATAGATATTATTTAACACTTGAAAATAGTTCTCAACAAGATAAATATGATCATGTTTAATGAAAATTACACCAAATAATTTAATTAGTTTCCAACTCCTTTTAGATATCTGACTAAGCAAGCAGTTGTATTCCAGTGCATAAAAAGTATAAGAACGTCATACATATGATATGAATGATTTTGTAGTGAAAACAAATCTTCATTGCTTCTAATCTATTTTCTTTTTAGTATGCTAGAACTCCCGAATTTAAGAATGGAACTTTAAAAGCTAGTTCTATTTTAACAAAAAAGGCCCAGACCTCCCCCCTCGGCGCTGATCTGATCTTTCTATTGTTACCAGCAAAATCAGTTTCTATTTGCCTTTTCCTTGAACAACCAAATTCTAAAAATTAAATGATCTGTTTCATTTTTTGCACCAGGTTCAGTTTTTTTCTTTACAAAATACGTAAAATGTTTTTTTTATCAATGTTACGTATTTACCTATTAATTCATTTACTTGTCTATTTATTATTTTTACTGAAATGTACTATAGAAGTCACTCAAAGAGATTCAATGCTTAAAAACAATTAAACAATTCTGTGAAAATTTAATCACAGGATATGAATTTTGATAAAGGTCTCCTTTTAGTGGACAGGAAGGATTTTCAATGCATCCAGTTGACACTGTCTTTGGTGGCAGGACCAGGTCCAGCAGCAGGTGTAAAGATCTCCTTCTTTCCTCCTCCTTCCAGCACCAGGGTCTCTCCTCCCCGTCTGAGTGAAGTCAGACCTTCCAGAATGGCGGAAGCCTCATTCTCCAGCGGTTGGAGCTCTGGAGGTGGCATCATCCTTGTTGACATGACTGGTCCTGACACAAGTTTACCATCAGCACCCTGAGTTACATTGCAGGATATAATGTTGGCCACTTCGGCTGCAATGTGCCAGGCTCCTTCTCCAGTTTTCTCAATTATCAGCTTGAACCTCCCCTGCCAGTCTCCTTCCACCCCTTGTCTTGGAGTGGGAACAAGCTGGAAAGCATCCAGGCTAGAAGTAGCAGTCTCAGAGATTGTCACACCCTGTCCTGGTTCATCCATGGAAACCGCTGGACGGAACTCCTTGCCACTGTAGCCAGAAATGTCAAATGCCACTCCAAGTCCACTTCCATTTTTAGAGAATGCCAGCACAGTATTGTCACCAGTCTGCTCCAACCGCATTCCAATGACATCACCATCACCAAACTTAGGTCCCCAGTTACTGGTCACCAGGCTACTACCATCACTCAAGTTGCCCGGCCCACCATAGAACAATCCCTTCATCCCCCAATCAGCTGCAAACTTATCCTCAGCAGAAACTCCCACTCAGGTTCCAGAACTTCCAGTCACTTTAAACTCCCAACTTCCAGTTCCGCCTTGACTCCAGAAAGCATTCCCCTTGGAGTTGCCACTCCCAGTGAAGCTAACCTTTGCTCCAGAAACTGTCAGGTTACCAGATCCATCATCTCTCCATGCCATGTTGTTGAACTGATACTAGAGCTGGATTCTCCTGTGTTAATGTAAGTAAAGGTTAGGCTACACTTTTAGAGGTTTATAATTGACAAGGCCTCCATGGGAAAACGTCCCCACAAAAAGGAAGAGAGCGTGGGGACATTTTTGCGTGGAGCCCTTCAACAATAATAAAATTATTATTATTACTTTGTTAACATGTGTTTTTTTCTTCAGTTGATGATGCCATCTATTTGAAAAACCACTGACCACATTTTCACTGCATTGAGAGTTCAAGTATTTATCCTCAAGTATAATTTTTTTCATAGGTTTAAGATGTCATCAGTTTTGTTTCACTGGCTAAAAAAAAAAAAAAATGGTGTTTGGAAAAATGGATCACCTTAAACGCCCCATAGAAATTGAGATCTTGGGTTTAAAAAAATCAAATAAGATTACTAAATATTCTAGCCTGTGTGGCTGGCAGGTTTGTTATGTGCTGGGCATTTTCTTTATGGGATGGGGAAATAAAATTTGACTTGCACCCAAACTTGTGGCTCTGCTACCAAAAACAACAGCACTCCCCTGCTTACCCCACCAGCTGGCTATAACTGAATCAAATGGAATCGACTGAAAAAATTAACTGCTGATAGGAAAAATAATTGTTTTTGCCTGGAAGTTAATTATTCATGCGGTCACCAGTTTCAAGACATATTAACAGTAATTACATTTTCCCTTGTAACCATCAGTACCATCAGGATTACCAGAAAAAAGTTATCTTTATCTCAGCAGAATTACATGAAAAAAAGACTACGTATGGTTGACGGAAGAAAACAAGTAACTACATAAGTATCCCTACAAGCCTGTTTCGTGGTTGCCCACTCATCAGGGGATTTTAATGAGAATAACTTTACCATTACTTATATACTAGACTGATTTACATAATTTATTCAGTGCGAGGTTCGTTACATCAGTTGTTGCGCAAGAGGGCTTTGTTTCTGTGGCGGCAGGAAGACACGAGTTCATTACGTTTGTTAAGTGTAGAGAGTTCAGGTCGGCAGATGATAAGGAATTTTTCTTTAAGACATAAGTTGCATCGTTTGCTTGAGCTGTTGTACGGCAGGTGTGAAGATAGAATGCGCCAGGCGATAGAATAGTTGATGTTGTTTTCTTTAAGAGTCCAGACGTGTTTGCTGAGTTCAGTGAAAAAAAGACTATATATAGCAAATTCTTTTTGCCTTATATCCCCTCATATACATACTGTTTGTTGCATAACATTTCAATCATTTATGCATTTAAACCATCATAGGGGTGCTTGCCATTTTGCCAAAAAAGCTGGTTAGAAACCAGTAGATCTTGCCAAGTGAAAACGTAATAACATTATTCTTGAAGCAAAGTTTCCAACTAGGTCAAAGCATTCTACTGTATTTAAGTTAAGACCTGAATTCTGATTACCTTTTGCAAGGTGAGACTCGAAATTTGGGAAACTGAAATGGTAAAGTGTTGGCCGGACAAGACTGACTGCTCAAAATAAGTTAGGTCGACCTGCCGAGCTCTGGAAGTGGATCAGTTTTTCAGGAGAATTTTTAACAGCCAGACATTCCAATCATATTTCAACAACAATTTCCAGCAGAGATTTCGGCATCTGTAAACTCAGCATTATCCCTTTTTTACTTCTAATAAATTACAAGTCCATCTTGTTAAAATATTTTGACTTTATGGACTCAAAGAACCAAATAAATTCTGAAAAATGTATTCTCCCCCAACCTCGTTTCCAGTAACGGGCATGAAAAGTAAAATGTTATATATTTGTACATACCTCTTCGTGTAGCAAACAAAACACCCTGGCTTTTGCAGTCTTAGGCCTTGGCCTCTTCAGATGTGTTGATATCTGCACAAGCTGAGCTGAAGTATGAAATAAGAAAACAGACAGCAGAGTTTTTACATCACACACACTCCAGGCAGTAGGCCAAGTTTGATGCATAAATTACCTAATGAATTACTAATTTTGCATAAACAACCACTTACAGCCCATTGCACTCTCTTCCTTTCAGACATTTGATACACTGAGAAACTATAGGTATTACTGTAGAAATAAACTTCACTTACCTCAACTTGGGCTGGAAGAAATCTAGCCTCACTGTGTATCTGGTACGTTTGTTATAAGCTGGGTATTTTCTTTATGCAAGGTGGAATATTCAGCTTGCTCCCAAACTTCCTGCAGTTCTGCTGCCAAAAAACGACAGCACTCCTCAGCTAACTAACCCCACCAGCTACACACGCTGGCTAATTCGTTGAATCAAATGGAATGAACTGGAAAAATTAAGGCCAGGTGATTTCCACTTGCTGTAATTAACATAAAGCAAGACCATTGTAACTGCATGTTGATGAGATAAATGTTTTCTTTTCTGCCTAGAAGCTAGTTAATTATTAATGTGGTAACCTTTTAGTAATATATTATTTTCCATCAGTACTATCAGGATCAGCAGAAAAAAATTGTCTTGGTCTTGGCAGAATTATATGAAGAGTGAGAAAACTATATAATAACGTGCTTCATATGTAATCCCCTTTCACAATGTTTGTTCGGTATCATTAATAAATAAACCATTAAGATGATGCTTTTATTCCGTATTGCCAAACATTTAAGCTCAGAAACCATTGGATCTATCCATAAGTGCAGGAAAACATTACAACATATTCAATAATTTAAAGCAAAGTTTCCAACTGGGTCAAAGTATTCCATTTTTAAGTTAAGAGCAAAATTCTGATTACTTTTCACAAAAGTCAGACTGTAAAATTACAAGAAAATTGGGAAATAGAATGGTAAGTGTTGGCTAGACAAAACTAACTGGCAAATTAGTCTAAATTAAATGGACTAACTCTACACTGTAGAAGTGGAAATTTTCCCCGGGGGTACTTGGGTTAATGTTTACTGGGTATGTGCCGCTGGCCTATCCAATTATAGACCCCATCTCATTCACTTTTTGGAAAACGTAATTTTCGCAACCCCAACTTAGTCACTTCCTATTTATGCATCTACCATATCAATGTGGTTTCAAGCGGCGGAATGTAATGCACGGTCAATGCAAGCTTATTGTTAAATTTAATAAACAGCAACTTTCTGACTTTTTTAACCAAGAATCTTCCCATTTTGAATCCCTGCATGCTTACCCCAAAAATCCGAAAATTTGCAACCCTATTCTAGTAACTCTATTGAAAATGCGACCCCATCCAGCAGCACATCCCCATAAGCCTCTTGTGAGGGAGTACCCCCCGGGAAATTTACACCTGCAGCTGGACATTGACCAAAACTTCCAGTGGAGATTTCTGCAGCATCCACAACTGAGTGACAGCATTTTTTCTTCTCATTAAGTTACAAGTTACCACTATTTTTGTTACAAAAATAATATTTCAATACACCAACGAGCCTCTGCATGCAAACACCCTGTCATTACTGAACTTCTCCAAAAAGTGACCACAATTTTCCCAGTCTAAGCCAAAGTTGGAACCTCTCATACCCACTGAACATAAATATATTTTTAATTATAATTCTCAAAATTATGCATGCTGTTTATGCTTTCGTATCAATTAACGATAACCACTGAATACAAACACCAGTGGCACAATTTAATGCAGGGATAGTCTGAAGGAATTAAGCTGGTGTCTAAAAGTTGAAAAATTACCAAAAGACTGAGATTGTAAACACAGGTCTTCAGCTATCAACAGGAGACTTCTGTCCCATATACCGGTATATAATAATTGTAATAAAAAGCGGTTGCGGTCATCAACTAGAAACTTAGCAGTTTGCTGACATTATGAAATATAGTTTATTGTTATTGGATGAGGTTTTTGTGATCAAGATATTAAGTGCTATCAGCAAGCTGAAGGCCTGAGGCTGATTAAAACGCACATCTAATAGGGAGACATCGATTATTTAGGATATCACAAAAACTGAATAACTGTTTTATTATACGACTGCTTTGAAGAAAATTACAACAAACATACTGTTGCAAGGAATTGTTATTGGAAATCATGAATTGCGGGCACAACCTACAGATTAGTCAGTTATCTGCTGGTAGATAACTAACTAATCAGCAGTGCTTATAGGTTGCGCTGATTTCCAAAATAAGCCTCTTAGCCAATGAGAAGACAGATAGTGAGGGCAACGTATAACAATCATATTTATCTCCTTTCTATTCATAAACTCATGTTACGCTACTAGCAGTTAAATTAATCTCTGCTATTTTGTAGAATCTTGGAGTGGGGAAAGCGGAGTGCTTATATGGGGTCTGAGGCTTAAATGTCTTCAACCGGTAGAGGAGAGTTATGACAAAGGAAGGGCATTCAAAATGTTTAAGGTTAGAAAAATCTCAAGAGCCGTCTTGGTAACTCCTTTTAAACACTCCAGAAGCGGTGGAAACTCTAAGGTACATCCCACAACCCAATCTGTTATGTATTCTTTTCGATCACGTTTTCAGTTGCAGGTATGAAAAATTAATGTAAAATGTTGCAACGTACATACCTCTTCTTGTAGCAAAGAAAACGGGTTTTCGCAGTAGGCCTCCGCCTCTACAGCTGGGTATATGTTCAAAAGCTGAGCTGAAGTAAACAGACGGTGGAGAAGGTAGCGCAGACGAGTGCAACGTAGTGCCGACTCTGTGTACAGCTCGCACAGGCAGCCCAAGGTCGATGTATAAATTTACTTTTACATGACCACCTTAATACGGCAGACAGTTGGTACAAAAGCTAATCAACAGATCGATATTGAAATTTAGGTGAAAGTGTAGAAACAAACTTCATTTTCTTAACTTGGGCTTGTTTTTGCTTTTTCTTCGTTA